CCCTAAACCTCAAACCCTACACCCTCAACCCTAAACCCTAAACCTTAAACCCTAAACCCTAAACCCTACACCCTAAACCCTACACCCTAAACCCTAACCCTAAACCCTAAACCCACCCAAGTTTTCTTGGGTCGAGAGGCCAAGGATTCGGCAAGGCCCTCGCCATTGGGACCCAAGGCCTCTGATGTAAAGAAGCTGACGTTGCTACTTTAGCGGGTTTAGGGTTTAAGGTTTAGGGTTTTGGGTTTAGGGTTTAGAGTTTTGGGTTTAGGGTTTAGGGTTTTAGGGTTAAGGGTTTAGGGTTTACAGTAGGGTTTGGGGCATATTCGACTTCTATTTTGTCTACGGGCTGTAAGCGACGTTTCGGCTCCTATGCTGATGGTAGCCGGGAGGTTTACTTTTTTGCTTTGTTGAGGACCTGGGCCATAGATTCGTGATTCAAAGGGTTCGCGTACGTCCAGGTTTAGGGTTTACAGGCAGTACAACTATGGAAGGATGTTGCATGAAGTGGTACTGTAGCAGGCGTGGTCTGTTTCAATGAATGCCACGGCGGAAGTATATATCTGTGGATCCTCTGGGTTGGATGTAGACACTGCGGTCTACAGAACTAAGTACATACACAGATACGTACATGCGGATATGCGTCCTGGCAAAGATTTTCACACATGTAGTGATGTGGTATGTTTGCATATGGGCATAATCACATTGGTATAAACATACACAGACAAAAAGGAGTAAAGATGAACACCCTGTGCACATCGTTCCTTGTATGTGCCTCTGACTGAATATGCATATAAGCACATATGCAATTCTATGCATCGTTTATTCAGTGGATTCGGGCATCGGTAGGGATATGTCGGCTCCTTCCTAAACCCTCCTATACCCTTAAACCCCTTACACAAACTGCCCTAACCCCCCAGGTACCTACCATATAGGGTCCGAGGGGCTCTAGTACCCTATATACATATACTATACTGCACTTAGACCCCTAGCAAAATTAAATGTTTAGCTGCTTCTTCGGGTTTATAATAGCCAAAGATTAAAAATTATTCCTAAGTACCCTTAAGTATAGTAGTACCTGCGGGGTTAGGGCTGTGAACCTTCAAGCGCAGTGCCGAGGCGCTTGAAGGACCCGTCGGTCGTTGGAGAGCGGGAGACCGGCATCCTGCTAACAAGCAAGTTCAGGGTTTAGGGTTTATAAGGGNNGGGTTTAGGGATTAGGGTCTAGGGACCGTCTGGCAACAGCTTTTCACGAAGCCTCCCTAGATAGTTGTTGGGCTTAGGGTTTAAGGTTATGTTGCCTGAATAGCAGGTGTGTATATATATATATACACACATATGATATCATCACAGGATGAATAAAGAGCTTGCTTGTAGTCTGGTTGCAAGAAAAGACTTTGCCCTTGTAGCAAGCTCGTTAATTATGTGCCCACGAGACACCTCCGCCTTGCCAGCTGAGCAGCGAGTCAAGGCTTGTCTCACAAGCCCTTCTGCCAAGAGTCTGCCAAAAGGTCCCATGCAGTCATGTAGTATAGGGTGCCGAATCATTAGTAGTACTCTTGTTTCGGGCTCCTTTCTCAAACTAGGCTATACCATATAATCCACCCCCAAGCCCAATGGTTTTTTTTAAATATTTTCTGCCGATTACGGCCGCTTTGGGCCGACTGGAACACGCCAGGCACAGGGGTATGCAGACCAGTGGACGAGGAGCAGATCACATGAACGTGCAACTTGAGCTGCCGCCCTAAACCCTAAACCCTAAACCCTAGAACCCTAAACCCTAAACCCTGAACCCTAAAACCCTGAACCCTAAACCCTAAAGAGCTGCCGTCCAAATCCCTCACAACCCCAGGATTCAATGATGTAGGGTTTAGGGTCTTAGGGGCCAAACCCCCTAAGATTCTTAAGGTTTAGGGTCTTAGGGGCCAACCCCCCCCCCCCCCCCCCCC